CGCTTTGTCCTTTTTTATTTTTCTGATCGCCTGCCGCTGCATTCATGCAAGCTAAGTACGAAAGCAAAGATGTCTCAACATATTTTAAATCCTACATTGAGCGAAGAGTACTTCTCAGACCGGGCGACACCGGAAACCGGATACTTTGAGCGTTTAATACATTTCCATTGTACAGATTGCGAATTGCGTCTACCTGTTTCTCGGCAAGGAATGAATAAAGCAGATTATACGAAAAGTAAGCTTTACTTGATGTTCACTCCACGCAGCTTGAGGCATTAGCCTCAAAAATAACCATTGCTTTGGTAAACTTTGCTGAAATTCATCTTGTCTTTAATATGCATCTACGATGTTCCCGATTTTTTTTTGGTGTGATTTCATGCTTTTAAATACATTTTTGAAGAGTACCTACTTTATGGTAGAATATGCCACTAAAAAGTCATCATTGAAGCCACATAAAACATTTAATGATGGTGTCTGCACCAACATTAACACTGTGGCAAAATATGGAGTGGAATGTGATATCACGAGATGATTTTCTATGCGTCTATAATGCATGCGACACGTTGTTATGATGATATGTGGGAGGCATCATGTGTCATGCGCCAGCGACGGGTCGTTATTGCATGTTTATATCTATCGTGATATTGAGTTCATACCCTTAAAATATCGTCGTTATGCATTTTTGCGACGATATTCTATACTATTTATAGTAAAATTTTGTCTTGAGTGCAGGCAACACGTGTAACCAAATTTTCTGCTTTTCTAGAGGACTGCTAGTGACTTTTGTGACTGTTTGTGATCGTTCTCTGCGTTTTGGTTCCGCGTCATTTCCACGCCAACGACGGCGTGTGACACCTTCACCGCATCGCACTCGAGTGCCGATGAATTTAATTAAAATTTATATAAATATTTATGCATTCGTTGTGACTCTGCCGACGCTCTTTTGCACACATTTCGCGCAGCAATTTCAACTTTAATGGCGTGTGCTGTGCGCAGAACACGAAACGAAAATACAAATTGATTGGTATACTTACACACCACTTGAGAGTCGAAAATGAAACGCAATTACCAGAGCAGAATTTGTCACTTTAAAATACTTGTTGATACAAACATTTATCAGCAAGAAAAATGTCATACTTAGTGAAAAAGCAAAAAAAATGCGTCTTGAACTTTTTCACACAATTTTTCTGTTGTGTGGCCCGAAATGTTCTGCGCGCGTTTTGCTTGCTTGGCTGATTATTACAGACGGGGTTGCGTTTGGCACACCGCCAAACCCTTCACAGAGTTACATAGTTTCCAAGCGTCCCGGCAGAAGCTCCACATCCGATCGGGTCGTAATCCGTTTGGACACATCGATAACCCTTTCGTCGCGCGCGGCGCCCAACCAACTAAACTAAACTAGATAAAACATTTCCACAGCAGGCTGACAGCCCGACCCCGCACATTTTCCTCACTTGATGAAAATTATAAACATTTAACACAGTCTGTATGTGTATGGTGATTTCGATAGAGGCGTGCAAAGTGAAGAGTTTGCATAATCGTTTTAAATCATTATTCCATGCGCTTTTGTCCCTTGTGAAGTTAGGTTAGGAGTGCTCGGAGCTTAACCTCAAAGCCGGCTTGAATGTGATATTCAATATCCTGCCCTCGGGTCAGTTCCACGCTCATTTCCGCAGGCTTGCTCTTTAATCTTTTATATGCTTCATAGGGTTTGTTTAAAGTTTAAATCAAAAATTCTTTTATTTTTCAATAGTTACGGGAATACGCGAGAACTTTTTGTAGTTTTCTTTCTTTCCGGGGGAAGCAACGCTGGTTTACATCGCAAGTCGTGCATATTAATGTTCAGGGCGGCACGAAGACGACGGATTAAATGTAACGAGACGAGTTTTCTGGGTCAGAACTAACGCATAAATAACGAAATTATGAATTTACGTTCGTTGGAACAAGCTATTATAAACATATAATAAAATTCTGTGCTTTTAATTACGTATTTTAAGCTGCAAATATTATTTACTTAATTTTTTCTGCGCATTATAGAGATTTCATTAATAGTAAATTAAATATTACGAAGGCGAGATTTTTAAGAAAAAAGTGTGCTCAGGAACATCGTTTGATTAATGATTACTCGGTTGTGAGACACTTTCTCTTGTGGCAACGTCCTATCGTAAATAGAGTAATTAACCCTTTGGAAGCCTTAGGCGATTATGTAGATTAAGCAAGGCGGACGAGGAAAAATATTAATTTTACGTAATTGTATCAAATATCCATTAGGCAGATAAATTTATCTGTTTTCATCCGGAGATATAAAAATGTATCATATATCGCTTAGAGTTTTTTTGCGAATTAATAGGCTTACATATTTGATCTGATTTTTTCGTTTCTGCTATTTTTTTTCTTTTTGATTTTGTGCCAGTCTGAGTTTTCATCTTCTTAATCCGACTTTTATTTTTTGCGGGTTTTTCTTTTGCAGTTATAGTTGCCAGTAAGACATAATCCGAGTCGTTTAATTACTTTCCTTATATTCATGAGAAAGCGGCAGGCGCCTCCACCATTTCTTCACCTCTCAAAATTCAACTCTCCAACAATAGCTGAACGGCTTTCCGTTCTCGCCGCCACTGTTCTCGTCGGTATAATTGCCATCAGCAAAAAAAGCGCGCACGCTGAAATGCAACCGAACGTAAAAACCTTGCTCTCTTCTCTCATAGTAGTATGTTTTTTTTTTGCTTTTTACGCGCGCTCATCTCGTATTTCATTCGTTAGTCGTACTAGTTTTTTTTCTATATTCACACTCATTTCTCATGATTTCTGTGACTCTGGGTCGGTTTTTTTCAACATCAATTCATCAAAACCCTCCGGTAAAAGAGAGAATCGAAAAAAATTAGCACACGAACATTCCTCGTATCATTGAATGAGCAAATGAGTGTTGGACGACACGAACATGAAAGCGACTAATCAGACATTCTCGGATGTGTGTTAATCAAACGGATAGTTTCAAAAGAAAAACAATGAGTTGCAGCGTCTTGAACAGCTGCCATTGAAATAAACTCGGAAGCGAGTTTTATGGTTTTACAAGTACAAAAAGTTCTAAAACGAAGTTTTTTTTATTTTTTATAGGTGTGTACAGAACAGATTTATAAAGTTCTTATGCGCTGTGATTAATATTTTAAATTATTCTTCATCGTTCAAGGCAAGTTATAGAATGAGAAAATCGAAATCAAATCTTGGCATGACTAAAATAACAAACATTAAACCACATTCTAATTCCAAGCGAAACGTGTAGAGCTCGTTTGTCCAAGTAGTACTAACATTTATCAACCGCGCGGTAATCTAGTGTCACAAGGCGTCTTCGCAAAGTACGACGGGTGAACCAAGACGCCGGGTCACCTCAAAACTTGCTCCTCTGCAAGCATGCAGTATGCACTTGTTTGAGTGAGCACGACGCTCAATTAGTCTGCTTCCGCAGTTTCGTAATTTCGCAATCGAAGGGATCGAAGCGCTCCGGAGCAAACTGGCGCATGAATCAGAAAGCAAGCATTATTCCTAACAATGCTCTCATTTATCTAGCGTACAGAGGGTTGCATTAAGCGCTTGTACAAATATAATCTCACATTAAAACTAAACTAAAAAATAATTATATACTAATTGTGTGTTTTTATTGTTCTAGGTAAGTTTTTGAACATTTTCTTCAAAATCTCAACTTGAGTTTTATTCAACAATGAAATTGTGCGTCTGGGTTTAGGGTAAGTCATAATTTTTATTTTATCTCATTACAAAACATGGAAATTTACCATATGAATACCAGTAATTAATTACTGTGTACAAACAAACTCATTTTATATGAAGAGTGAAAAATGACGGTTTTCTGTGCGCAAAATGTAAAAATTAATTACATGTATGTTATTTTTAGTTGGCGAGTTAGCGTGTCCGACGCTATAATGAATTATGTAAGGGTTCACAGGTGTTTAATTACTTAAACGCGTCGCATTCCGCATTGTGCGGACTGCATTCGCCCCGACGTTGTCTACTTCCTCATGCACTTCCGTCTTCCCGGGCGCCTCCTTTGCTTTTTCCAAGTGTATGCTCTGACATTATTAATTCGCATCTTCCGCTTTACATTTACAATATCAGACGCGCATTTCTACAATAATATATCACTTCAATTGTGCAGTTTAAATTAGGTTTTCTTTAAAGTATGCCGGATGTAGTACTATTTGTTTTTTTCGTTTTATCATGAATGAAAACGTGAAAAATATTATTGGTAACGATTGTGGACATGTTGAAACATGTGGTGGGGATGTGGGTATGTGGGTATGTGGTGAGAAGTTCTCTTCGGCAAAACGACGCCGGCGCGTGAAAAAAATTGCAAAGTGCTTTTAACTCGATAACGCGTTATCTTCTTCGCCGGAGCAACATCCGTCTGTACCCCTCGACACACGTAAAACCGTCGTGGCGGCTGGCGTCCCGGCCGAAAAATGATTTATTTACTTAATAATAGAGACACTCGGCGGCGGCCCGCGCGGTTTCTTCACTATATGTGGGCACCGACCGTATTGCTACTCGTATTTTCTGCACTCCCAAAACTGTCTTCTGGCGTAGTTGTAAGATGCCAAAACTAAAATGTTTATCTTGCACAAGAATAATATTTACCCAAAACGATTTCATTCACTATCCCCAGAGTGAAAAATAATAATAATAATGCTAAATTCCAAAAATAAAATTTATGTTTTTATTTCGTTTATTCTGCAGTTTTACATTTCGAGTATTAAAAGTGTAAACGAATTAAATATTTAATTGTAAAATTTTTCGGCGTTCCGTGCACATTTTCCGGCTTCTGAAGCAGAGAGTGCCGCCGGTGGGTCAGGCGGTGGCGAGTGGCGGCGTGGTGCACGCGGCGCGAGCACGGCACGGGGAAATCAATATAAGGGGTGAGTTTGATGGGGCGCAGGCTTGAACCCCCTGCGAGCCCAGCGCTCCGCTCGCGCCAGTCTTGCCCACACGGTGATCGCGGGCGCACAGCACGCACCGCGCACGCCGCCGCCGCCGCCACAACACTACACTACACACTACGCGCGGGTCCGCGTGAGATTATCCAAGTGCACGCAAAACGGTCAAGCTACCCACTTGCGCAGAGTCGGTGTAAAGGAGTATCAGTGGAACTATAGGGATATCTATATGCGCAATCGGACTTACCGTTAATACGGATGTGTGTGCTTTTGACGTGTGCTTTAATACCGTAAACATAAGAAATAACCCCTCACCACTACAGCACGAATTTGTGCCAACTACACTTAAAACGAGTGAATTTTACCTGAGAGAAAAAAAAAACCAACGCGTTATGATTTATTTATGCATTTCGTAAAAAACTGGTTTCTGCCACGCACGTTTTTGTTGTTGTTTCTTTTTTACATGCGTGCACCATCGGCACACGCGAATGACCAACATAATAAAACATCGATGTGAACAGCATCTTTTGTTTCGAAATCAACAGCATCAGCATGAATTTTATCTGCGACACTTTATCGTTGACTCACACAATTTTATCTTACAGTTGTTAATGGTGTGACACTTCCACGTAATAATATACAAAACAATCGACAAGTGTTAATCTTTCAAAGAGAATAAAAATTGTTGTGATGTTATACCTCTAATGGCTTAAATAAATGTGATGTTTAATAGCGTATTTCATCCTTCGACTACTAATTACTAACGGTCGGAATAAATCTATTGTCTGTGTGTTGTGTGTCTCAAAGTGTGTCAATGTGCGACGCGATTGGTCAGCGAGTAAAATACTGCGTTCAATTAATAAAATTAATTAAATTGGATGCGGTTGCAATGTGGGGGGGACATGCGAGCAGGTCAGTCGTAATAAATCAATCTGCATCATCGACGATGATGCGTTCGCTCTAATTTCATGCTGTTGCCTGGTATTTTGCGGATTTACTCGTTTTACGAGCTTCTTTCAAATGCGAGAAGGGTTGTAAACTTGACTTAGTAAATGTAACTGTAATCAAATTGCTCATTTGCATTTTACTATCGGCTGTTTACAATTTTTGTTACGCGCTGTATGTGTGTTTGTAATTACTCATCAGCTCGTCTACAAATGACTCGTTTTTTATTGAAGGTCAGAGTTAATTTTCTTCCCGGTGCGCTTTTTCGCAAATCCCTGATGATGATGAAAATTAATGATTCGGTTAAATATGCTAATACGTGTGTTACCGACTAGGGTGTAATTCCAGCAGGTAGCTGGCCGAGATAACACACATCCGGTTTAATCCTGATAACAATCGGCGCACACTTGTTTCACCCCTTTGGCTTTGTAATTCTTAGCCTTTTTCAGCACCCCATTGCTGGGCTTCTTCAAAAAGAAATGTTGAGGTTATGCGCCGGTTTCGATTTTCGTCTCTCGGTGTGTGAACCCCAATGATGTGTATCTACCCCATTTCGTTTCGGATGCGTATTCAACAGGAGTCCAGACCTCTTCGAGTTCAGAAAGGTGCAACCCTCGCGGTGCCTTGTTGCCCGGGCCGAGAATGTAAATTACATCCTGGCATTACATTAGAATACAAAACGTTTGTTTAGTTACGATGTTAATGGTGAGTGGCGCTAAGGAGGGGTGAAACCCAACCAAAGCAAATGGCAATGAGCAAGTCGCGTTTCCAATTTGGAAGGCATTGCAATCGCGTGATTTGGTTGGAAATGACCATGAGTATAGGGCAGGAGTCAACTAATGCAGCGGTGTTGGGACCAGTGACCTACCTACTGGGTAAGAGGGTTTGTTGTTTAGTGATGCGAGGCGGGGGCACGATTTCGGAGCGTTTCGAGTGTCGCAAGCGTGCGCTATCGAATCCATCGGAGCGTGTTAATTCACGTCGACGGAACGAACCAATTGACAAATCAATTATTGCGCGATAGTATCTAATAATGACGTGTCATTAACGCGGGATGTGATGGTTTCGAAATGCAAAGTTTAATTCAGCCAAAAAGCGTTTTACTAACGTGGAATACAATTGAGGAAATTAATTTCGGACATAAATTTGTATGATTACTTTATCAACACTTATAATATCTTGATTACCTCAGCTTTTTCTTCATTTTTTGTTTCGTAGCCATTAAATTATTAATATGCAATAGAAGATTAAGCTATGTCGCTCCGCGCCAACACAAGCAACATCAGAACAAGCTTATGCGCAGGCGCAAGCTCCACCCCGTAACTAAAGCCCGTGACTAAAGTACTTTAGTCACGACCTTGGCTGTTCGTATATAAAAAAAAACCGTAGAAAAACTGGCGCTTTAAAGGTGGAAGTAGAAAAAATAATTTTTTTTACAATGGTTTCTCCAATAAACTTAATTTTAATTAATAATGTGCCATTAGTTACTTATTCATTATACTACTTTCATTTCATAACAGTGGAGAGTTGATTATTTTTATACAAAGCATCAGTAGCAATATACTATGTTATTAATAGTTATAACCTCGTCACAGTGAAGAAAAAAATCAATATTTTCAACTTTCTATGTAGCTAAACGTGCAAAGAATGTAAGTTTTTTTGCGCCCTACAAACGCCAGCACTCGAGCTCACTAAAAAAGTACAACGTGATTAATAACGCAAAACATAATAACGAGTATAATGTGCGTGCATTAAGTTTTCACTCAGGGCTTTTCAACTTTTTCAGTACTTTTCAACCCTCATAGCATATTTTGTATTTTCCCACTGTTTTCAACATTTCAACGCGAGAAACACGCTGGAATTGTTAGCACTGCGTACAAAATATGTTATTAAATTTAATAATTCTGCAGAAGTGAAATTAAAAAAATAGACTTGAAATTACAGCGAGTATAAATGAGTAGAGAATAATGGCGGACTTGTTGACAGTTTTAAGAATGGGGCGTGTTGATCGAATAATTGCCTTTTAATTATCGCTAGAACAACCTCAACGGACTTTTATTTTTCTTGGCATGGACTTGACTTGAGCAGCTCTTTTTTTTCGAGTCATTTTCACTCGTATTTGTCTTGGTCTCTGATATTTGTGTTGGCCTTTTTATGTCGGCGTTAAAGTGGTATTTTCCTCGGTGGAAATTAATCGATATGAATTTTCCTCATGATCATAAATATAAATTACGCCGGCTTGAATTGATGGGGACGTGCGTCGGGAAAATCGTTTAGCGTAGAAAATTGATTAAACGTGCCCAACATTATGTCCACTCACTGGCGGCGCTGCGATCGGTGGTAATTAGCAATAAATTATTATTGCGTGGGCCCGATGTAGCAAATGAGTAAATAATGAGGTCGCGCTAGTGGCATTTATGTATTGGCGATATTCCTAACCTAACACCCACTCGACGCCAAGTCGACGCCAAATATCAACAAGTACAAAAGTACACACCGCCGCCATTGCCAAGTATAACTTCCGGTTGTTTTAACGCTCTCGCCCTACAGTGTCTGTGTGATTGTGTTAGTCTGTGCGTGCGTGCCAAATGGTAATACTTGTTGGTCATTTGGTTTCTTCGTATGTTTTGATTGCGAATTGCCGAGTCGAGGAAAAACTTTCGTGTCGGAAAAAAACACATTGGTTTGGCATCCATCGGATGTTGGTTTGTTCCGCTACAAAACTTGCTACACATATAGAACTTCCATAATAGAAGGAAGCAACAGTCAGATTTGGAACGGATTCAAATATTTAAATTTATGTTGCTGTAGTTTTTATATATAAATTCATTTTACACGCCAACCAATTCCAGTACTTTATTTGATTAAATGTTCTATTAACATTAATTAATGTGCAGTGGCAGTGGGGTGGGAAAAATGTTATTACCGAAATATTTCACGGCGTTTATTGCTGCAATTTATTTGTGGCGGTTTGATTGAATGTAATTTAATTTTAAAATTCGGAAAATGGATTTTACAATTCCAATTATAAATATTAAATGTGGTTTCATAAGTTTTCCGCTGACCTGTTTAGCATAGGAACTTCTTAATCGAAAATTATCATTAAAAATAATTATAAATATTATAAACTAGACTTCGTCCCAGTAGTGTTTAATTAAAATGTTATTCGTTTTTACTCTCTTGTTCTAGACATAGTATATGACAATTCTATCAATAAGATTCGCAATTTTATTTTGAAGAAATTAAGTTTATCTCGGATTCAACTATTTAACTATAACTATGATTGAATCTCAATGCCAACTTTCCCGGTAATTATTCGAATTTTTCTCGCCGTTAAAACCATCCTTGGACTTTTACGAACATTTAAAAAAAAGATTTGGCCACATTGGTTTAGGCGTTGATAAGTTATGCGCTTACCAACAGATTTTGCTATTCATTTTATATTATAGATAATATTTCATAGCGGAATTGTTAGATCAATTTAAATTTAATTATCACGACATTAACATGGCCATGTGTCTAGCACATTATCTTGTGTTCTATCCTGTTTTCACAACACGTGCAAGCCCGGCATGTTATCCATGTCCACCATTCGATTGGTTGAATGCATTAGCTTGTATTATTTCTGTATCGCACTACAGTGGCGCACCATTTTTCCGACACGAGTTCTATTTCGTCTCGTTGTGTTTTTCCTCGGTGCTTTGTTGTTATGCTAGTGACCTATTTTCGCCGCCGCCGTTGTTCTGCCACACAGCGTGCGTACGTTCACACCCCCTGCGCGACCCCGACACACAATGCCCCACCCCATTCGCGACTGGGCGTTGGACGGTGGCAGCCAACCCCTTACACCCCCACACTACCCCGTTCAACATCTTTGTGCTCTTATCCGAACAATGTTTCCTGGTTTTTATGAGTGCCCACCAAAGCAGGCATTATGGATGTGCGTGCGCGCGATTCGAGCATTCGACCATTATCGCTTAATTCGGCCGCCATTATTAATCACGCATACATGGCACTCGGTACGGGGCGAAAGTACGCGTAAGTACAATACTAGAAATGGTAAAAAAACTAGACAAAACTAAATTATAAGCATATAGTTACATATTGTTGCATATGTTGAATATTTTCGTTTTGATTCGGTTGCCAGCGTGTGCACGAACAAGGAAACGCTATGTGCTTTAGTTTAACATTGTGAATAATTAATTTCTGAAGTGCATTTAAACACATAACTGGGTCACTCAAAGCGGCATGTTGCCACCCTATGACATAATAAAATAATTAATGTTCGTGCGTGATATTTAAATGGAATTGCACTGTGTTAACAAAAAGTAGTTCTATTAAATTAAATTTATAGTTTATTATAATAGTAATAATATTTTAACTAAATAACACTAGTTTATTATTTGTTACTTGACTAAAAGATTCATTTTGTAATGTTATTTTAATATGCACCTCGCTTGACAGGCAAATGATTGATGAGTATCTCAATTCTTGAAAATTAAAGCGCTGAAATTCAGTCAACAAGTAAACAGTCACACAATACGCGCATAAAGCCACAACTGCGGAGCCTTCAAAACGTTTAGAAAGGGTTTACGACACGAGCGACAATGAATATGGCGGCGCGGCGCTCCGCTCCCGTTCCCGGAAGACAATGGATGAGCGAAATGTTGTAATGTGCAGACAACCCGGCGTGTATAGAATACACGACAATAGTCTGTGTCAAATATGTACTCGTCTATCCGGCGCAAGCAAGAAACGTTACGCTATGATGAGGGAAGACAAGCTTAGCCCAAATATCTATGATTCAACAGGCTACAAGAAAATATAAAGCTTTTAGGTGTAAATTTAAATCGAAAACAAAATGGCGTCTATCCTCCAGCGTATAGTGACTCAAATGGGTTACTTCCGGTTTGGTCGCATCTGTTCGTGTCTGCTTTGCCATTCCACGTTCACTTTATTGTAATATG